GTGGGTTTCCTCCAGGTGCTCCGACATGTTCTCCCTGTGTCAGCGTGGGTTTCCTCCAGGTGCTCCGACATGTTCTCCCTGTGTCAGCGTGGGTTTCCTCCAGGTGCTCTGACATGTTCTCCCTGTGTCAGCGTGGGTTTCCTCCAGGTGCTCCAGCTTCCTCCCACAGTCCAAAGACATGCAGGTTAATTGGTGACTCTAAATTTTCCGTAGGTGTGAATGTGAGTGTGAATGGTTGTCTGTGTCTATGTGTCAGCCCTGTGATAGTCTGGTGACCTGTCCAGGGTGAACCCTGCCTCTCACCCAGTGTCAGCTGGGATAGGCTCCACCCCCCACAGTTCTTAACAGGATAAGCAGTTACAGATTATGAATGAATGACTGAATGAATGAGTTGTGAATCAGTATTTGGATCAAGTAGTAGAGTGTAACGGAGATTGAAAACATGATACCAGAGTGCTTTACATGGTGACAACTTTAAAATAAGAATATTTATAATAAAATGTGTAAATACAGTTTTACAAACGTAGAAACGAGCCTGATATAAAAATTAAATAAATGTGACAAATCCGTGAATCAGCTGATGTAAACACACTCCAGTCTGAGTTAAAGTCACATTTCTGTTTATATGACAGAAATTATTGATACAAAAGTCTGAAATGTGAAATGACTGAACTTTAAAAGTTGTTTTGTTGCATCAGTGAGTTCTCTGAGAGCAACAGATCGATCTGCAGATATTGAACATAAAGCCATGTTGTGGTATGATGTCGTGTTACATCATCAGCGAGCGTCCTCTGCAGAGTTTTATCCTGCAGAAACAACAGATGGTCTCAGGACGGGGAGGGAGGGAGGGGCCAGAGAGGTGCACTCTGAGTGGAGGGCTCTGTCTCTCTCTGATGGAGGTGAAGACTCGGCTTTAATCTGTCACAGAGGATAACGAGAGCGAGGGACGAGCCTGCAGCTCTTTACTTTCACCTTCAGACCTGCTGCTCGTCCAATCAGAGGGCAAACCGGACTAATGAACTAACGAAGCAGCCGGAGGATGGAGTCGAACACTGGGAGCTCGACGGTGGAACAAACGTCAAGTTCAGACTCAGCAGATGATTTGGAGTTTTCCCATCAGGCTGGAGAACAAACTTCAGGAAGTTTGCAACGTCTTGTTTTCTGTTCCTTGGATCATTTCCTGATTTAAATCGGCGTCACGCAGGATTTTATTCAGACTCATACCCGCTGGGAAAGTGGAGATGTTGGAAGTAACTGTATCACTGCAGAAACTCTTTTAAAGTTTTACTGTATTTAAAGTTATGTTCTTTTATTTTACTCACTTAGGGTTTTTTTTTTTTAGTCAAACAAAAATCTACATCTAGCTAAAAGAAAAGCATGCTATTTATACAAATTAAACTCTTTTAAATTAATTAAATATATTTTCTTCTCTGTTTGACAGGTTGAAATAAAAGCGTTTTTTTTTTTAAGTGGAACTCCAGTGGTTACTTTCTGCCAGGTAAAAATTTAAATCATCGTTTTTTGTTTCAAACAAAAATATAAATGTAGCTAAAAAGATTCTTCTAGTAAAAAAAAAAAATCAATGTATTTTCTCCTTCGACCGATTTCACTTAAATTGTTATTTAACAAAAATCTAAATTTTGCCAACAAAATACATTTTTAAATTGTTTTGCTCTTTTAAACATTTTTTTAAATAGAATCTAAATGTAATTTCTTGTTTGAATAATTTTACAAAAAAATTATTTTTTCTCACTTAAAGTTTTTTAGTCAAACGAAAATCCAAACCTAGCTTAAATAACTTTTTTCTCCTGCTTTTAAAGTTTTTTAATGCAAAAAAAAATTAAACGTATTTTCTAGAAAAACAATTTTTTTAAGTCAAACACCAGAGGTCAGATCTTGTTTCTGCAACTTCCTATTTAATTCTTTTTTTGGTCAAACAAAAATTGAAATCTAGCTGGAAAAATTGCGTTTTGTTTTAGTTTTATTCTGGTCTTATATTTTTTCATATACAAACAAAAATCTAGTTTTATTTTTTTCTTTTCAGATTATGTTTTCAAGTGAAACACCAGAGGTCAAACTCTGTTCCTGCCCTGTGACTTGCTGTTTAAATCATTACTTTTTTAAGTCAAACAAAAATCAAAATCCAGCCCAATTGTTCTTTATTTTTTTGTCTTTTTTGTGTGACACTGAACTGCCCCTCGCTCCTCTGTGTTTATAAGAATACTTAATCAACGTCTGCTCAGCGTGCAGATGTTGAATAAGTGTGATAATGACGTGTCTGCGACTTTAACCTGACGTGAAGACAGATCACTGTGCTAGTCTTGAGTTACTGAGAAACTGAAGCTGCTGGCTCTGGTTACTGTTCACATCGCTGAGGACGTGACAACAACAGAGACGACGGGACAAGGTCCACTGGTGTTTATCAGTTCTGTGGAAAGGAGCTGTGGACTGTGAGGGGGCGGGGCTCAGTGCAGAGGTGAAACAGGTGAGATATAAAAGCAGAGACGGAGAGCGGATTAAACAAAGTGCAGCAGATTAAAACAGCTGATGAGCTTCGTTCAGCCGGAGGGAAAATATTCAGACGAGGACACAGAGGCTGAATTCAAACGTCTGAGGATGGAAACACTGCCGGCTCTCACCTGGACGACCTCGTCTTCACCTGATACGATGGAGCTGATCGTCCACAGAGAGTAACCTTCGGTCTGAGCGGTTTCCTCCAGGTGAGCTGGACCTGTGAAACAAGGTCATGTACGTCCTGTGCACCCTGGCGGTCCTGACCCTCCACAGCCTCCTCAAGAGCTGGAACAACAAGGCGCTGGAGTCCGGACGGAGGTCTGAGGGTGGAGGACAGAGAGACCGTCCTGAGGATGGAGGCGTCCCTGAGGTGTGGGGGGCGTCCAGGTCTCAGCGTGGAGGAGATGATGCAGTGAAGGTGGAGCGGAGAGGAGCGAGGAGCTGCAGGGCTGAAGGGAAGAGGAGACAAGGAGGTGGCGGCGTGCGTAACGTCCCCGACAGCAGGAAGCGAGGGCAGGTGAGCAGATGGAGATCAGGTTCAGACACAAGAGGGTCTGTGTTTTACCAACTGCTGTGGAAAGTACTTTTACAAGTACAGATCTGAGGTACTTTTACTGTAGACGAGTATTTCCAGCTTTAGTTAGATTTAACAAAACATACAGAATCATCTCATGAATATATGATGCATAAAATAATTAGTAATTAATAATAACTCGTTTCTACACTGAGTATTTCTATTTTTGATATTTTGAGTACGTCTCATTACTTTTATCTGAGAAACATTTTAATGCCGGACTTTAACTTGTACTGGAGTATTTTTATTTTGTCATACTGCGACTTTTGCCTCAGTAAAATATCTGAATACTTCTTCACCCTCGACTTGAAAGAACAAAATCCAGATGAATCCAGATCAGATGACCAGATGAAAAGAGGTGATAACGTTATCTGATCCGACCGCAGCTGTAAACGAAACACTAAAACTTTAAACATTAAACTTTCCTGGAAGTTCAATTATTTTATGCCGTGTAGAATCCTGCTCTCTGATTGGCCGGCAGCTGTCTCTCCACCTCGGACACAGTTCAGGTCGACAGTTTAACGCCGTCGTTTATTCTCCCTTTACGAATGAAAATAAATCCTGTCTCAAACGTTGCAAAGGTCCCCTTCTTCATATTTCCATGTGTCATTTATGTTGCCATAGAAACAGCCAATAGATGGCACCAGAGGGCGGAGTCAAAAGTTTCACATAGCAACTAAAGATGTAACCGTGGACGAGGTCGTAATATTGTACCTTTAAATGGAGGCATTGTTGTGGATGGCGGAGGTCTGTGAGGTCATTAGATAGATCCTGACGTGTGGACGGAGGATTCTCTTCCCTATATTACTGATTCATTACGTCTGTTAGAATTTCGTCATCGTCTCCTGTGGTCGTATCTCACTTGAACTACGCTGCTCTGCCTCCATGATCTCTGGTGGTTCTGCTCCATGTGATGTGTATCTGTGAGCTTTCAGAAAACTTGCACAAATATGGACGACTTATGCCTCATTTCCACCTGTGTACGGAGACGAGTCAACAGGAAGTCACTACGAGAATCTCCATAATCTCCAATGTGCCTGTGAAACTCCTCAGTTTATCAAACTCGTCCACATATCAGAGAACGAAAATTCAAAATGTTTTAGTCGCTGAAAATTGAAAAAAAAATTGGGTCGACAAAAATTCAAAACATTTCAGTTGATGAACTTTATGACATTTTAGTCATTATGTGTGTCCACCACCAACAGTTCATCTCGTCAACAAAACCTGCACGTGTTACATACTGCAGTCTGTTCTTTGTTGACCATGAAGTTTTCGCACGTGAGCTAAATTATCTTTAGTACTAATTTCTTTTTCAACTGGCGGTCAGTAACGTAACATCAGTTCTTCTCTCCGGCAGCCTGATTGGATGATGAACAAAGTGGATCATCTGAGCAGTTCAGTGTCGACACTCTGACAACAAACAGTTTTAATGTTGGTTGATTCAGGAAGTGAAGGAAAATTCATTAAAGACTTTCATCTTTGGGTTGGAGGAAGGTGGCAAGTCCAAGTCAAGTCACGAGTCATCAGTGTTAGGGCTCATTTATGCTCCCTTTACGTACGAAAATGTATACGTCCGTTTCAAACGATGTTACCGTCACTGCCCACATACTTCCATGCGCCCTTTACGTTGGCATGGATGTTAACCAATATATCCACCAGGGGGCAGCCCAGAGTCAAAAGTTCATGACAACAACAAACTCAAAAACAAACATGGCGACTGTGGAGGAGATATTGATAATGTACCTCTTGCATAAAAGACAAAAACAGAGGCAGCGTTGTAGGAGGCGGTGGTCGGTGAGGCTGTTAAATACATCGCGACTGGAGGACGGAGAATTCTTTTCTCTAGTACTGCCGATGATAGAAATTGAATTGTTATTTCTTCTTCGTGTCTCACTAGAGCTACGTATCGGGTAGTGACAGCAACACTGCCCCCACGGTTCCTGGTGGTACTGCTCCGTTTGGCCCGTATCCGTAAGCTTTATGGAAAGGTGCAGAAATACGGACGAAATGAACGCAGAGCACGGACAGAAGGCTGCGTCTGTATCCAGATCCGTATTTAACGTTGAGCATAAATGAGCCTTTAAAATCCAAATTGAGTCTTTTTGATTTTTTTTCAAGTCAAGTGTAAAGTTGTCAAATTTGTGACTCGAGTCCGAGTCATGTGAGTCGAGTCCATACATGGTGTAGAGTTTATCAGCCTCTGACTGAAACATCTCTTGTGTTTATTGTTGTTTGACTTTTTCTGTATTTTATGAAGCTGCAGGAAACTGATTTTGATCTGAAGCTGAAACAAATTCAACTTCTGTTAAATATTGACTTTATGTGCAGTGGTGGATAAAACATGCCTGTTTCATACAAAGAGACGTTTGCACATGGCTGTGGTCGTGGTGATGTCGCTCTTTATCAGAGTGTGAATCAGTCAGAGAGTCTTTGTGAAGCCAGAGGCCTAAATTCAACATTTCTCTGTGGAGGTTCTGATTGGACGACAGAGATCCTGCTGGTTGTTATTGATTCACTGCACATGGAGAAACATTAGAACTGAAACTTGTCATGCTGCTGCTGTGTGTGTGTGTGTGTGTGTGTGTGTGTGTGTGTCTGTGTGTCTGTGTGTCTGTGTGTGTGCGCGTGTATGTCCTGGTCAACGTTCCAGTGAAATGGGATGTTTGCGGTCGTCAGCGTGACGTTTGCTGTCATCAGCAGGAATGTTTCTGATCACATGATGTTTAGAGGCTGAAATCCTTTTACATGTGGACGCTGGTGTGTGTGGAGTCTCTGTCCATCAGATCAGGAGTTATGTAACCACACATTCATCATCTGATGATGATAATCTGACCGCTGATCTCTGACGACACAAACTGATCCTGCACAGCCCCAAAAACCCCCGTCTGTACTTGTATCAAAGATCAGCTGTGAAGGTTTCTATTAAACTGACTTCAGGAATGAGCGTTTCTCTTTTTTACCTGTCAGGTTCAAACTGTCTGCAGCTCCATTAAAGTCTTTACATTACGGTCAGTTTGTTACATCCTACTTTTAAACATGTGTTTATTTGTTTATCAGTCACTACCAAGAAGCAGCTTCTCTTCCTGGGGTCCACACAAGCGAACATTACGTCATAGTGTAACACAAATATATCTTTATAAAGCCAAGGCACAAAGGAGCAAAATACAACAAGAAAACAGGAATCAAAAAAACAAACCAATAGATTAACCACAATAAAACTATTAATGGCAACAATGACAACAAGTATCCACACTGTATCGAGATATACAAACAACCTCTTGTGTCTTTAACCTCTTTGTAAAAACAGCTGCACTTGTTATATGTGTGATGTCTGATGGCAAACCATCCCATAATTTCATCCCTCTGATCATCACAGCATGGTGGAAGTGAAAAACACCCTCTTGCCTCACGCCAAGTGTTGATTTAATCGCCGTTACTACTGTAAGAAATTGCTGTTAAAGGATATCTGGAGTTTAGACAATAAAATATTTCTCATAAATCAGATTCAGACAACTTAATTAATCCCACCAGGGGCAGCAGCTCGCCTTGCACACATACTATAACATACAGTAACATATAAACACACATGAATGAGTAATGAAGTAAAAACACAGAAATAATAATCTGGAGTTCAGTGGAACAAACAAATCTATAAATAATAAAAGTTAATAGAAAAAATATTATAAAAGAGATTTTAAAAAACATAAAAACAAATATTTACAGAGAATTTGAAAGACAACAGATTAAAGATTTTGAGTAAAATGTGAGGACAGCCTGACAGCAACAGAGAAAATTCACCTGTAACAACATGATGTTCAGAAGAAGCTGAAGTAGTTGAAGCTTCCTGGAGGATTTGTTGAGCAGAGAAAATACCATCATGTCCTTCACCAGTGACCAAATGACGTCTGATGATGTCAGCTCTTGTGTCACAGGTCAGTCGTGTTTCTCTGTTCTGGACTAACTGTAGTTTTACTGCGTCTTTATTTGATGCACTCGACCAAACTGCAGGTCAGTGATGACCTGATGCTTTAACAACATGACAGGTGCATTCATCTCTGCCAGACCTCCTCCCATAACCATTAATGTGAACAGAAACATTTCATCTGATTTCAGCATTTATTAATTTATGGTTTTATATTTTACGTCTGTTTTAAGATTAGAAAGATTCTAAAATATTTAATTGTGAATTCCATCTAAATATTTATTTGTCTATTTAAGATATTAATGTGATGGATGATTTCAGGCCAAAAAATGATTTGTTTTCTCTCAAACCGCCAAAAAGTTTCAAGCTGAGGACAGTTTTTAAATTTCATTGTATTTATTTAATTTAAAGGGAAGTTACGATAAAGAACAATAAACATAAACAAAGTGTAGAAATATAAAAACAGGATGTGATGTAACACTTTAGAGACAAAATGACAAAATAAAAGTAAAAACTCCAGATTAATTTATTGAAGTCACACACACACACACACACACACACACACACAGGGCTGTTGAATATTTCAGTCGGGGGAGGAGCTGCTCCTCACGCTTCAGTTGACGCTGAAATATTTATCAGGGAGGAGGGAGGAGGAGGAGGGGGCGGGGCCAGAGGAGGTGTGATGCTGCTGTGCTGTTGCTAGGGGAACAGAGAGGGAGGAAGGTGTGTGTGTGTGTGTGTGTGTGTGTGTGTGTGTGTGTTGAGGGGGTCTACGGGTGGCGTTGACACTGATCCTGCTGCGTGTGTGTGTGTGGAGCTGCAGCGAGGATGAGGAGGATGCAGCGATGATGCGGACGGTGAGGCCGCAGGGAGGGAGGTAAGGAGCAGACGAAGGGATGGAGGGACACAAAGAGGAGCGATGGTGGGACAGAGGGACGGAGGTCTCAGGATAGAGAGGAGAACACAGACATGTTGAACAGAGGTGGGGAGCAGTGGGTGAGATGGAGGTCTGGCTGTAACC